GGGAGGAGTGGGGGGAAGAGTTCAAATGTGTGTCTGGTGTGTCCTCCTCACTTCCTGTCCCTGTGACACTCATACAGGAAATAGTATAATGTCAGAGGTGGTCACCTGACTCATACAAGAAGTGATGGAAATCTCCCCCATAGAGAAAATCCGATCCTTCCCCACATTGAAGGCTCAGTCAGGGTTCGGGGCCATGGAAGGCTGAGTGTCAGCTCTGGGGGTCAGAGGAGTGTCATCCTCCCACTTAGTACATGGGCTTCATTCATTATGAGTGGAGAACACAGGCAACGCGTGTGAGCGCCATTTTGTACAACAGAGTGCAGACATATACCGTGGTGTAGTGCGTGTGTTCTATTACAGCAAATGCAGCGCTAATCTTCGGTTGGTTTTGAAAGGAGCAGAGAAGGCTTGACTTCAATTTGTGTCCCCGCTGGTGATAGTTACCATTACTTCCTGTCCGGGAGACACAACAGGAAGAGGCAGTAAATACTCATATAGTTGTCACCAGAATAAGTGTCCCCATTGGACGCTTTACCCTCACTTCCTGGTCTGGTGACAGTACCATTTTTTATTTCCCATCACTTCCTGTCCAGAACAGACACAGAGCAATAAGAACCATGTATACAATGTTACAATCCATGATAACAATGTATGTACCGGACACGTGACCCTCACTGTCCCATATATGGAGCCCGGGATCACCGTTCTATGTAAAGTGCTGGGCGGGGCACACGGGAATTACATGACTCCTCCCCGGACTACATCTCCCAGCTTCCCCTGGTGCCGCTTCCTGCCACACACCGGAAGCGAGACGCAGTCCGGTGGAGGAACCGGGTGAGTTAATGTGGCAGTAGAGATTCTTCCCGGGGATACACAACGAGAACCTGTCAGCATAAGGGAAGAAGTCATCTTTACCCTTAATTAGCTGAGCTGGAAGTTCGGTTGGATGTTTCTTCCGGGTCAGTGGCTTCCTGATAAAGGAAAGATGAGGATTGCAGGTTCCTTTTAATAAACGGGGATAACAGAGGTGAGCGAAGGGAAACATTTATAAGCACACAAGTTACTTCCTGTGCAGTCGGCCTGCGTATGACGTGGCTAAGAGCAGAGGCATATGGAAACTACTGTCACTTGAACAGGAAGTGAGGGAAAATATCTCCAGTTGGGACGCCTGGTGACGACTAAAGGGATTTTTTCTTCAGCTTGTGGAAATTCCTCCACACTTCCTGCCTATTTCAGGGACAGGAAGTGCCTGTATGTACTTCTCCATCCTAAATGAGGCCTGGGGGGAGGGGAGCTGACACATTTTGTGTGATCAGTGTCCCCCTTCTACACCCGTACAGTGTGTATTGTATTGGGGCCCATGTTAAGTGTCACAGCACTTTAGACACAAACCTATACTATAGTGCAGCACAAGGTGTGCCGTGCCATTTCCTAATGTGTTGAGGCACATTTAGAATAAACACACAGCCTCAGTGTATGAATACTCATGGGGAGGTATTGGGGGGCTGGTGGGGGTGTATGGATATTGGTGATACATAGGGAGGTCATTCTCCGGCACCGCACCCCCTTCAATATGTAGGCATATTGAGGTACACAGATTATTTACT